TGTGAACTTGATTGTGTGGCTGATCAGGATCTCCGCCATTGGGGTCAAAGAGACCGTTGGAAATTGCCTGGCGACCTGGGATCGCTGCGACCAGACTCAACTGATCACAGCGGAGCAGCTGAGACCGCGCCCTTTCCAGCGAGGTTTGGGTTTGGAGAGCAGTCGGAGTCCCCACCTCCCCGCACGGGGGTCGAGCAGAACGCCTTCGCCGGGATCCGATAACAGAGCCCGACCCCGCGCCTCACCATGTCGCTGCGCGCCGACCAGCTGGGACCTCTGAAGAAGCAGAAGCTCTGCCGCCAGCCACGCCCGCTGCCACGGTCACGGGAACCCTCGGGAGCCGGTGCTCCTCTGGACACCTGATCGAGTGCTCTGTGCGGCCGTGCTCTGTGTTCAGCCGCGGTTCTAATCCACTGGAGCGGGGCCTCGCCAAGCGGCCGATAGTTCGTGGCGCGCTGTCATCTTGCCTGAATTCCTCGCGGCAGCACAACAGCAGAAGTTTCACGTCTGACACATGCCGCCTGTGACTTGGATGAATCGGTTAATTACCGAGTGAGAGCGCGCACATTATCAGATTGATCCGCAGCCTCAAACCAATGCTGTAACCGCTCCCTGGACAGGCAACACGTCGGCAATAAACCAATACGGGCCCGTCGCGGGAGCCACTGGTCCCCAGCGGCCTGAGTGGGATGTCTTGTTTGATCCTTCCCTCACCCCTTAATTCGCGCCGCTACCACAGCAAACGCCGCCGTGGCCCGTCCCGTAATGGGCCGCCGGCCGGCGCGCGTAATCAGACGGGGCGAGCGCCGCTTCCTGCGCTGGCGTGGGAGCCGTCACTCGCGCTGTGACGGCGCCGGCGTCACCGCCGCACGCCACCCGGGACCGGCGTCTGGCAGGCCGGGGTCAGCCAACGCCTGGGCGGGGCGCCGTGCGAGGCGCGTGGGCTTGCTGCCCCGGCTGCTCGCGCTGGGACGCCCGCCCCTCGGCGGGGGGCGGCAGGCGTCGAGGTATTGACGGGCGGTGGCTGGGGGCAGTCCTTGACCTGATGGGGGAGGGGAAGGTTATGGAGGGGCGGATATGATGACAGATCTATTGACGTCTCGGCTGTAATCGCTCTGATGTTCACACAGCTGACAGGGAGACTCACACACGCAACAGAACGAGTACTGCGCATTGCAGTCACGCATTTTGGTAGAGATACGCCAAACCTTTCGAGAGAAGGGTAGGCAGCGACGCTAGCTACACTCCGAAACATGCTGCAACTTACCTTCTACAATGCCTCAACTAGAACAGGACCAATTTGAGATGCTATAGTACAAACGTGAGGAATGCATGCTTTTATTACGCATGGATGGCAGTGGGTAATTGTGACCATGAACGTTACAAACGGCTACGGTTTGTGAACGTCATGTTGCGTTGAGAAGGCAAATGGCACGGCAGCCCCGGTAATCTCACGCTTGACTTACACTGCCTGTCCACTCGGAGCACCGACTGCCGTTGGAGACGTCCGGGACGGGCCGCGAGCGAAGGGCACGGCAGTGACGCCGGGTTTCCACCCGCACAGCGGGACAGGCCGAGGCTCGCGGGCCCTCGCGTGACCCGCACCTGCAGCGCCATTGTACTGGGAGCAGGGCCGCGGGCGCTGTCAGCTCCGCCGAGTCGGCGGCGTGTCATCCGCGAGGCCGACACGGTCTGATGGGCTCAGCTGCGGGCCCGCTCGGCAGCGGGCCTCGTGCGAACCGGCGCTCGCTCCCCGCTGACCCGCCGCCATTACTGCGGACCGGGCGCCGCTCCACGTACGGGTTCGGCTCCGGATTTGGTGCAGCTGCAGTGTTGCAGAGCGCGGCGCAGGCAGCTTTCCTCGCGTATTGTTTTGGCGGGTGAATGTGGGGCTCCTGGTGATCCGGTGCATCATTCCGTATGAATGCGGCATAGCGTGCTGCGTGCTGATTTGAACAAACCCCTGACGGGCTGATGATGGTCTGCGTGTTTCCCTGACGCGCTTGTGTGCACCTATTGAAGTCAGGAATAGCCTCTGGTTAGGCTGTTTTGGTCACTTTTCCATGCAACACTGCAGCAAAGATGTTTCAGAGGTAGCAATTTATGACAGGGAGAATGCAACCAATTGACCGGCATGGGTCTTAAGCTGGGGTTTCTCAGCACTAACTTTTTGTACCTGCGGCCTCTAACTGTTAGAGCCCGCTTGCACGCTGTAGCCATCACCAGCATGTGTTCATGTTACTCGTCTCAAAGACATAGGTGTAATGCTGTGCGCATCTCATGGCATGGGAGTTGAGTTTCTACAAATTGCTGCACGCTTCAAAATGTAAAATGCCCAGTTATCATCTGACAATCTCCATTTGCCTTCCATATCTCTGAGTGATTTGAATCTCGATAAACGATCCCATGACTTCGCGATGACGGAAACTACTGGGATGCATAATTGTACTTTATCCTCGGCCACTACCCGATGTCGATGTGATCATTGGCAATTTCAGATGTGGACTGCGCCATGTCGAACACGCAGACCACATTGCCGCAAAACTACTGTAAAATAGATACACCAGTCGCAGGTGAATCGTTCCAGTTTATGAAGACAACCATAATTGAAGTGACGGTGCTAAAACAGGAGCATATTCAGCCTTCTCATTGTGATTTAGTGGCCATGAAAAGACGGAAGCCAACGACGGCTGGAAACGAGCGGGTCCTCAAACCAAACTGCCCCAGCAGGTCCTCAAACCAAACTGCCCCAGCAGGTCCTCAAACCAAACTGCCCCAGCAGGTCCTCAAACCAAACTGCCCCAGCAGGTCCTCAAACCAAACTGCCCCAGCAGGTCCTCAAACCAAACTGCCCCAGCAGGTCCTCAAACCAAACTGCCCCCGTGGTCAAAACAATCAGTGAGAAGCACTGCTGTTTATAGTCACGACATGGACTCGCCATGACCTCATCCTCCGTGGCCTGACCTGACGGCCTCCGTGACCTGCGGAACACGCCCAGTGACCTCTGAGTGGGCCGGCGTCGGCGACACTGACCGCCGTCTCAGGCTGGGTCAGAGGTCATGTGGCTGACATTGTCGCAGTATTGTGGGGCGGGCCGCTTTCGGCGTTGGCCGCTGCCTCCGATCGGCATGATTCCCCTGTTTTCGCTAACCTTGTCCTCGATACGAAGGTTTGAACCAATCACAGGGCTGTGCCACCGAGTTCAGACAATTGTTCGCATGATTGGTCGCTGAAATATTGGATAGGCGCTAGCCGCGATAGCGCAGGAGGGGGTGGATTTAGCTCCGGCGCGGTATCTATCTATCTATTGCCGCTGCCCACGTGACAGAAGAAATGGACAGCCACTGCGGAGGCGTTCGCTTTGATTGGTTACATACAGGGCAGTATATCTTACGCTCACCATTCCGTTTTTACTTCCAGCCTCTCGTGAGCCATGAACACTCTAATATGAACACATGGACCACTGTGAGACCGGGAGTGTCTGGTGATGAAAAGTTATGTCCTGAAGAGTCTGCCTAAAGTCTTACCACAGGCACCACTGTGGTGGGAGAGTGCCTGACCAATGCAGACATTTTGATAGTCTCCTCTGGACCACTGCGTTTCCATCTTGCCTCAAAGACTTCAGCCAAGGGGTTCCGGTTCCGTAGAGATCACGTTGCCCGCTACCGGATGGAACGTATTCTCCAATATAGGTGCCACGATGCTCCGTATGGTACAAAGTAATATTCTGCGTGACGGTTCAAATAGAACAACCTACAGTCGTGAGAGATTCAAGGAATTTCTTCTCGACTTCAGCCATTTCGTCCTGCTAATTACAGGCACCATGTCCGTCACCGAACGCATGGCTCCTAGTGCAGCGTGCGGCGGTCGGCGTGTCCGCGCCAGGAGCTCGGCAGAAGCACGAGACACGCACGCTCACACCACCACTGCCGCAGAGAAAGTCGGCATCACGGGCGGCCCGTTCCCCAGCTGTGGTTCCGCCCGGAGACCCGTGGGTGAGGCGGACGGGACGCTCGGCCCCGGGGAGCAGGTGTGGCGCGCCCGTCGCGTGACGACGGCTCCTCCGACACCCGACCCGGCTCCGGCCACCGCCGCCGCCGCCAGAAAAAGGAAACGCAGACGCCGCCGCCGGCCACCCGCCGGACGGGTCGTCGCGCCGCTGCGGTCACGGCCGCCGCCGGCCGCCGTCGGGCCCCGCGGGCGCCGGCTGCCCCGGGCCAGGTGGTCGGAAGGGGCCGCCGCTCCGACCACAGCCGCCGCGTCACGTGATCGGCATCTCCCTGTCTCGGCGAATCGGGGGCCCTTTCGCTGTCGCGTATCGCGCCGCGCCGATCAGGCGTGGGAGCCTCTGCCGGCGTTCTGCGGATCCGCGCCTCAGAAAAACCCGGCGAGGAAGTCGCCCCTTCGTCCGCGGCCGCCGGTTGGCGCGAGTCTCGGCCGCCAGGTGGCAGGACGGTCGCGCGACCGAGCGCCGTCCGTACGCGTGCGGTGGTCGCGCAGTGTTGGTGTGCGCGTGGAGCGGGGAGGCCGTGGGCAGTGCGGGCGGGCACCGTGTTTGTCGTCTGGAGCCCGAGACCGAGGTGAGCAGCTGAGTGAGCCCCAGCCCACCTGACTCGCGGCCGCAGCCGACAGCCCGGCACCGTGCGACCGAGCGTGAGGGTTATGTGCCGTCCCCCTCTCCCGCCCGTCACCAGCCGACCGGAATGGCGCGGCAAAAACGCACCCCTCACCAGCGACAACGCACGCAAATGTGGTCGGCTGACACAGCGGACCAGCGGCTGGTCTGAGCGTGCTTCGCCAGGACCAACCCCGGTCATGTTTCAGTCCCGGTACGTGGAGGTCCTAGTCTGCTGTCGTTCCCGGCCCTGGTCCCGATGGGTCTCGGTGCCTGTCCTGGCTCTGGTGTCGTCCTGTTCCGGTTCCGGCGCGGTCCGCGCTGGTCCCCGCCCTGTCCGGCCCTGCCGCGGCCCGTCCGTAACACCGCACCGCCTGGTTCGCAGGCGAGCGGACGCCATGCTGGTGGACAAGAAGCGGGCCTCGCGGCCCTCCTCCATGGTCTTCGCCAACTACGGCCAGCTGAGGACGCACGACGACCTGCAGTCGGCCGGCTCGCCGACCTCCGCGCCGCGCGACAATCGTGAGGTGGGTCCCGCCTCGATGTTTCCGTCTGGATGCCTCGATGTCTCCGTCTGTATACCTCCGCCTCGATAGCTTCTGTCTCGAGACAAGGCGAGACCCTCCCCCGCCCCCTCTCTGCACTGGGTAGCATATCGCGCTATCATGGTTTGGACTAGATAGGAGTGTTTGCCCGGTGCGTTACAACTCGTGAGTCACACGCAAGATTTATCATGTTTGCTGAGCTGTCGGTAATATACGTTGTTTACTGGGAATTATATAGGACATCGCTCTGTTGAGGATAGACCGTATTCCTGTCAGGGGCGTGGGGCGTAGTCATAAACATTCCATGAGTCGAGCAGAGCGGCACACGGTCAATACTGCCCCAGGTGTTGTGTCAGCCCAGCTGGCATGGGCCCAGCCCGGTTCTGTCTCTCGCCTCCCGTCCCCCGGCGCCGAGCCCGCCGCCGCTCGCCGTCACCGTCCGTCCCCCGGTGGTGACGGGACGGGCTCACCAGGTGGGTGGCGGCCGCGGAGCGCCGCAGCTCAGCGGAGCCGCCCCCGCTCCCGCCTCCTCTGTGGGTTACGAGGCAGCCGCGTGCCGGCCGCGGCGCCGGACGGATTACACGCTCGTGCCGCCGCCCCGGGCTGTTGACACCGCTCCGACACTGCAGGGGCTGACCAAGCGCGCCGCCGGTCCGGAGACAGGATTAGCGGAAGTTACGGGAAATGGAATTAGTCTCGGGGACGGGCCGGTGGTAGAGTTTTATCGTCTTAAAACATACCATGCCTGGAATACATGGATGGAGCAACTATTCGGGCAATTTTACCATCTTAGATTCTTTGACGAGGTAAACCGTCTTAGAACATTGTAAGGGCTGTACGTCTTAAAACAAAAACGAAAAAAAAACATTAAATTCAAAGGAAGAGTAACGATTCGGAAGGGAGGGTGGCATATGTGGCTTCCCGTGAAAGAAACGCTCCGCGCCCCGACAGCGGTTTTTGTAACGGACTTCGTACGTTTGATCAAGAGGCGACCCTGAACGAATCGTGAAGTCTCATTTGAGGTTGACAGCTGGCGACGGAAGGCTGGCAGCGCGGCAGAAGGAGGCTCCCCTCCATTACCCACTTGAGCGCGTTAGACGCCGCCTGCTGAACACGCTCCCAGCTGCCGGGGCGCTCCGTGCACTCTAGACAGCCAGATAGACGGCGACGGGTCGGCTGCGCCGCGGCGGCGCCCACGCCTCTTCCCCGGGCCGTTCCACCCGGTCCGGCCCCCTCGAGACCGCCCGACTGACGCGCTGGGGCCGCCGCCGGCACTTGACCGCCCGGCGGGGTCACGTTGCCGGCAGCCGGCCGCCGCCGGCAGCTGGCGGGCCGCGCGATAAGGGCCCGCCGCGGCAGCTCGCCGCTCTCGACCCGTCCTGAACAAACACGCCGCCGGCCGGCCGCTTTGTCTCGCCGGCCCGCTGGCCGTGTCGGGGGCGGAATGTGGCCACGCGGCGACCGTTTGGACAAGAACCGCCGCTGGGTGGTGTACTGACGCTGCGCCGGCTGTGGGGTGCGGGACCGCCGCGGGCCCGTCCACATCCCGCACCTGCCCCCGGAGCCGCTCCGACGTCAGGCCGGCCGGCGGGCCGCCAGCGGGGCTCGCGCTCGGTGGGAGCGACACCCCGCGGCGGTGAGCGCGTCGGGCTGGGGGAGCCCGTCACAACCGAGCTGGAATGGAGGGCGGTGCCGGGCTGCGAGGATTGACGAGCGGGATTATGCGTGCGATGCGCATCTTCAGAACGAGAGGACCTCTTCTCGGGCGCGACGCCCGGTCTCCGTGATTTGTTGCGAACGAAAGTGGCACAAAAACCCACGGCGTCCGCAAACATGTGATTACGATTGCCGTCGGGGAAGGCGAGGGCACTGTTTACGCGGGGCGTGTTGGTCAAACACACGGGAGACAAAGATGAGATAACGAGGCACTATCGACTGTGAGGCAATCGTGCACACGTTTAACACAGGCGCACCTTGTCCGGCGCACGCAGATGCGAAGCAAGCCGTTAATCTTATGCAGAGGGCGTGTGCGGTGGGAGTCAGGCTCGCTGAAAGTACGGAGCTGCCCTCAGTTAATGCTGATGCTTCACGGGTGTAAACAGCCAGCAATTATGCAGCACCTCGACGCAGACACCGAACGCAGTTGATATATGCACTGGTGTTTGAAGGGTGATGCATATTAAGATGCTCACATTCTTCCAATTGCGATTGAATCGTTCTTTCGCGTTTGCGAGAACGGCCCAGGATGACCTGAATATTTAACGTGGTAGATGCAGGATTGTAAGTCTAAAGGCGCGGGGTTGTGATTTCCGAAGTAGTTTTGTGGCAATGATACAGCTTGTGCCATGCCGTGTGGTCCATGAGTTATTGTCCAAAGCATTTCCCCACTCCACAGCACAAACGTCATTTCATTTGGCAATGCTACATTGATATTTTCATTGTTATTTCTTCGCACAGTGTCCGCTGAAGGCACGTACCGGCACTGAATCCGTATATCAACCTGGTGGATTTGGTGCTTTCTAAACCGAAATTTTTGAAGCCGCGAACCAACGCGCATTTAGCTGCACCAACCCTTGACTTCCAACAAATTCTTTTTGATTTCTGAAGACACTTCATATATAGTTTTGCCAGTCCCGATTTAGTATTTCACTTGAGACGGAAAGCCATAAAGCTCTTTTCCAATTTGGAACCAAGGCTCGCACATATTTCTGGCTTTAAGGCACGTCAACTTCAACAATAATGGTTATTTACGCCATATTTAAGGGCGCGTGATTATATGTGGAATCCATTAGCCATATCACAGCCATTCCACAAATACCGAAGCCATTCCAGATTCCACCCAGAATCCAGCACGGGGTCTGTTCGTGTGTTTATTTTGTTTATGACGGCCTGCTCCTGCCAGCGCTCTGTCCGCTCTAACCACTGGCCGCCTTATCTCTGTAAGGCGACTGCACCGGACGTATGGCTGCGTGTTTCCACATTCCGGTCCGTTCGGAGGATGCCGGGCCGGCGTGCAGCTCGCCAGGCCTGTCCGTCGCCGGCTCCTCCGCCGAGCTGCGTCCAGACGGAGCGTCTGCTCCGGCCGCGACGCCGCGAGACATCTGTGCCAGTCGTGTTGTGATAAAAAGTGCCGACGCCGTGACTCACTGGGCGCAGATCTCCGCGTGGGGGGGGGGGGGCAGTGTATTGACCTCGAGGAGGGCGGAAGCGCCAAACACAGCTCAGCGTGGTGGGGGTGATGATGGGGGGGGGGGGGGCGACTGCAGATCCGGCCGGTCTACATGTGGACCCCTTCACCTTCCCCCTGGTGACACAGTCATGCCGGCTAGCGGCTGAGTTACGCGGCTTGTTTCTGACCGGCAGCGTTCCGTGCAAGCGTCTGGGGAACGGGGAGGAGGTCGGACACTTAAGTCCGCTTGGTATCCGCGTCCAAATTAACGGTCTATCGATGTTGACACGAGGGAGGAGACACTCAACGTGCGGTCGTAGGGTGTCTGTCTTTGACTCCTTTAGCTACGCCCCTGCCGGCGGTCCTCCCTTCATGCCGCCTGGTTACGCCGCTGCCGGCGGTCCTCCCTTCATGCCGCCTGGCTACGCCGCTGCCGGCGGCTCCGGTAAATCACGGTCGTAATAAGTGTGCGGCGTCATGTCCCCCGGGGGTCATAACCGTCCCGGCCCGGTTCCGGCGTGACCGCTAACGACCCGCAGTGCGCAGCGCAGGCCCGCGTCGCCTGCTGGCCCGAGCACCGTCACCTGTTGCTGCCGCCTGGCGGAAAACGCCCGCCACCAAAGCTGCTACGCCCTGCTTAAGCCCCGCTCAAGACCGCTTTGTGGGACGGCGCACTCGTGGTCGGACCTGCAGCGGAGTCAGTGTTGGCTTGTAGTGCGGTATATCCTGTTTGGTACCAGGCTGTGTATGTTTCCACTATACCGACCCGAGGCCGACCGATTGAAAAAGCGTTTCTCTTCAATCAACGGATTACCAGCTCAGAATTTGGGATGCAAAATTGTTTTGAAGGGCACCACAATCCTTCATTTACCATCAACAATAAATATATCACCTCCCACAGCCTGACACATCCTTTCCCATCCTCCGACTTCTCCGGTCTCAAGCACGGCCCCGCGACCGCCGGGGTGCGCCGAACACCCCGCCGGAGATTGGACGCGTCCTGCGAGGTGACCCGCTGTAACTGGGACGTTAATGGCCCGAAGCGCTGACACGGGCAGGGTGCGGCGCGAGCCGGCCCGGCAGACGGCCGGATCTGTATGCGGCTCGGGCGGCCGGCGCCGTCGAGAGGCGCGCCTCACGCGTGCGAATCGGCCCGACCGAGGCGCGCCGGTCCGGAGGCGCCGGCGCCTCACAATGCGGCTGATTGTGAGCGGAAGTGGACCTGGCTGCTCTCGCAAGGGCGTCGGTTTCGCCCTGCGCCGCGGACCTGCCGGCCTGGGGCTGAGGCGGCGGCGGCGGCGGCGACTGGCGTCCTCGCTGCGAGCGGGGAGGGGGGACGTGAAGTTTCCAGTGACGTCAGTCACCCTGCCAGCTCGCTGGTACGGCGGCCACCAATCGAGGAGGGTGTCAGAGCCAGAGGTGTCAGACGTCACAGTCGATTGGTTGGGGAGGTTCCAGGAACCAGCTGACGTTTCTCTACTTCATTCTAAATTGACTGCAACAGCTCCGATCTGTGTCCGTGTCCGAGAAGGTGGTCTTCAGTATCGTGTTAGCTCGCCGTAGCACTGCTCTACTGTCCCACATTGATAGCGTTCCGCCATGTCACTGTTTCACAGATGAGGCGCCGATTGTACTCCAAATGTTGGGAATTTCAAAAATTGTCAAAGCCCAATTTTAAAATTGGATAGACAGAGACCTTGAAATTTTTGGCAGCCGATATAATTTTGTCGTGCCGCAAATCGATATGCATTTCAACTGACTTCATGCTGCTCGTCTTTATTGTTTCATTCTGGAACATAAATAAGTTGATGAT